GAGTGATACGGAGGATGAGCCAGCGAGTTGGGCGTTTGTCTGATGGATATCTTATTTATGTTTTTATGTATGTATTTTGGTATCAAATATGCATGTTGGGTTCTAGCTGTCCTTGAAGCCATTTTTGAGAATCTGAAACTGGGGTTTGAGTGTGTAACTGGTATATACCTTGAGTACAGCTATTTTTTTCTCTTTTCAACTTGGGTGGACTACTTGTGTAAGCTATCACTCTTATGGAAATATCATGTATGAGCTGTTGTGAGGAATGCACTAGAATAGTCAGGTGTGAAAGATTGTGGCGCAGGCAGTGGGAGGGGAGGATGTGGCGCGACTTCGGGAACCAATGCGCTTGTCGTGGTGTGTTGACCATTCTTTCTCTCTTCTCTCCTCCCCCTCCTGTGTTCAAACCACCTGTACTGTTTCCATTTTTTCTGCAAGTCTTGTTCAATTTCTATTTGCTGTGATTGTTGACTTGATCTTGACACATTTCAACAGGCTAAACATGGCTCGAAGCCGTAATGCACGCAGGAAGAAACACACCTATACGACAGAACAAGAGCCGACACCTACAGAGAACTCAATGCTATCTCTAGATGATGTGACAACGCAAATTATGGGCGCGTTCGAGCCAGTGACATCTAATAACCGATCTCCTACATTGCTCGAAAATCCTCGTGTGGTGTGTGCGGATATCACAGAACCTGGAATCCCTTGTTTTCTTTATCTTTCTCCTACACCTGGCCAGGCAGACATGGTTATCATCGACTATCTCCTCAGCGTAATGTGGACAATCCGCGAGGCGCCGACTGCTTTGCAACAACCAATACCGGGGCATGAGCGAGAGTTGTACTTCCGCATCGGCGAGGTCCCAGGAGGCAAGGGATTGGGTATGGTGGCCACCAGAGCTATTAAAGCTGGGGAGCTAATCCACGCAGAACGGCCGGTGGTCATCTCGCGTCCCGAACTGTACACAACCTCATCATTATCACCAGTCGGTGACAAAGAATACTATGATATGGCTCTTTCTGGTCTCTCGCCGCAAGCTCTAGAATCTTTTCTGGCCCTGCATAACGCCTTTCCGAATGAAGGACCGATCGATCCGATGTCTGGCATCCTCAATACCAACTCGTTCGACACCAGCCTCAAGATTGGCGACGGGGATGACAATCTCGAGAAACTGGCAGGTTGCTATCCGACTCTGTCTCGCGCAAATCACGACTGTTCTCCCTCCGCCAATTTCCATTTCTCCCAGAAGACGTTCTGTGGGCAGTTCTTCGCCACGCGCGACATCCTCGAAGGCGAAGAGATCACCGTCACATATACCGATTATCTCATGTCTCATAAGGAACGTAACAGGGTACTCAAGAAGACTTATGGTTTTATATGTACATGCCGTACATGTTCGCTGCCGCCTGCTCTTGTAAAAGAGAGCGATATGCGCAGACGGGATATCGACACTATGCTCAAGGATGCCGCGGAAGATACATTAAGATATCCTCAGCCTACAGAGCTTGAACTGCGGCAGCTTGTGCGTTGGGCAGAGCAAGAAGGCCTATGGATGACGCGTGGAATGATCCTCTACCATGGTAGTCTGATTTTGTCAGTGACTGACTGCCTCAACGTTGGCTTTGAATGGCTCAAAGAGACGAGAAAAGTGTTCCGTATGCTGCTAGGAGAAGATTCGCTCAAGCTGGAGCACGTTGATTCTCTTGGCCGCAAGATGGCTCAGAAGCTGGCGAGCAATGGCGTGCTGTGCCACTGGCCGACGACAGCCTTGGAAGGCGGATGACATATGCTTCTTTCGCTTATCCGCTAGCTTGAAGTCGAGGTAGTCATTGTGTCATTATTGGTCCCTACTGCATCGTTATTCGCCGATTTATGCACTATCAACTGTCCATCTGTAAAGTATAAATTACACTGAAAATTATATGAAACAGACTTTAGTGTTGCAATCGGAGCCAAACGATACCAGACATCGATGGTGTATGAAGCATTGAATTTCGCCCATGAACTGTATGTTGCATCCCAATCTGTGTTGATCAGAACTTTATGCAGATTGACTCGCTGTAGAAGCGCAAGCTGGAAATGCTCGAAATTCATTCTTGTGAATGTAGAGACTTGCTCGAAGCCCTCGGTCCAAATCCAGGTCATATCTACCTGTGGTCCATAGTACAGCATGATTCGCTTGAAAGGTTCGCCAGCGGTCGACGGCGTACAGGGCATCAGTCACATTGCATCCTGCTAGTTTATGGAGAGGCTCCGTATCGGAAGGCACCTCGATGTGAGAGAAGTCGGACTGTTCTGAGCCTAGAGTCAATGTGACATGTGCCGTTTCAGGGAACTTGAGATGGGACAGAACGTATGATGAATTAATTGACGACTTCAGATATGAGGAGAGAAGGCTAGCGAGATGATAGAGACGAATGACGTAGATAGGGCGCGGTCGATTATTGAAGGACTAGATCACAGATGCAAGATAGTGATGTACGACAATATCGTCAAAATAGAACAATCCGCGAATTGTACAAGCGTTTCCATAAATCTTGAAATCTTGAAACTTTCCGAGTGAAGAGAAGATACAGAACAGGTAGACCAGTGACATCGTTCAATCGGACCTCGTGAAGTGGGCCTAAACACCGGTGATCGAGATGTATTGCTCCTTTCCTGATTCGGCTAACGAAGTTCACATCAAGAACTGTCGTCGACACGTCTGGGAATGAGACCGAGAACTAGATGGCGTTACTTCACCAGAGGACATAAATAAACAGAGAAAATTAACCGCAGGAGCATTCTCTGCTGGCGGGGGGATCGCGAGATCAAGATATTTGATGCGAGAAGTTGCCGGAGGAAAAATGATCTGAACTTCCACATGTCTTCGCCCGACGTATGCTTAGTACATTCGACGTGTAAGAGCATTGACGCTGGACGCACAAGTTTTGGGTCAGATGAAACATTGGATGAGCACTAGTGTAGATCTCCCCCCCTAGCCTCGGCGACTCTAGGGCGACCAGGCGCCAGTGCCGACAAGCTTGAGCTACTAAAAGCCAACTTGTTCTACAACAAACATGTCGATCAAAGTAGCCGATGCTGTGAGACCTGGACGACTTGGCATTTGTGAGGAGGATCTCCTCCAAGATCTCGTCCACGAGTCGAATGATTGGCATTGGTCGATTTGGAACCATTATATCACTCTGGGATGAATTTAGCGATAACGCGCACAGCAGGAGCAGTATGTATCAATGCATACCGGCTCATATTAGATGACACAGCGAGAGAATATATAATAAATGGAGGCTATGCAGAAACACCAGGCTTCGGATGAAGCAATATAAGCCAGACGCGGAAGAGATCAGGGAGATTGTACCTTCACCACACAGTAATCTGGCGTCAAGAGCTCTTTCTCCGAGTCCGCTAGCCGACTCCAAGTCACTCAATGCATCACGTTTGGGGATAAAAGAGAGAAGACATGTCACGCCGTGAACTCGAAAGCCATAATTGGTGCTCAAATAACATCTCACCATTTGAAAGTCACGGAGAATTCGTAGTATGTTGCTTCGTAGCAATGCTTTACCGTAGATTTCAGCACGTCTGATCAACGCGAATCATTGACCTGCTTTACAATCGTCAGACTGCCGTCATTCGGACAGCGATCCTCCAAATTCGAGGAGAGCGGAAACAAACTCAGAAAGACGAGACTCGTGTTTTATTTCTGCAGGCCCGGCGAAAGCCGGAGGGGCCGCATGCACGGCGCGCACACATGACTACATTAGAGATACTTCAGTAGGTCAAGGAGTAACCAGAATATTGTATGCGCGTACGGTCCAGAGTCCAGACATCCACCTTTCGACGTCGGTATTACGAGACTGAGACTGAGGCTCAGAGCCAACTCGGATCTCCTTTCAAGTGGCTATATTCTCGGTACTTTGCTACAAGCCGCTCTGACGCGAGAGGGCTTGCGTCGAACCTACGGCATTCAATTTTCCCCAGACCAAACTTTCACTCTCTTGCATTCTGGTCAATAACCACTCATCTCGCCAACCCAGCAAGTTCGTCATCACATCAGTCGTTAAGTCACTCGTACTGTCGACATTTTATCACTGCCGAAGTTGAATACTCAGCTAAGTACATAGCCATTCGTATCTAGAGAACGTACGAGGCACACCATTGAGCAAGAGTCCTGATCCGAGCGGGCGGACGTTTGAAACCGCGCTCAGTTTCCCTCTCCCAACGACAGAGGGCTGGACGCGCAGGAGGGGAAAACCAGATGGAGACTCTCTTTTCTCGCGCTTCCGGATGTCTGCCCTCGCACTGGTGGGCCTGCACCGACCCAAGGATGATATCCATCTCCTCCAGCGAGCGGCCCTTTGTCTTTACAATCAGCCTGAGTGGCAGTGGCGCGCGAACGCGCAGGCACCGACAAGGACAAACGCGCGGGGTAAATCACAGCGAACATACGGCCATACTGCCGATATTGATCGTCGTGAACATGAGGAAGATCTTGTACCCAAGGTCCGTCACGAGGTGTGATCTTCAAAAGCACAAAGTCTGCGAGGGGGGGTTCAGTGACGCATGTGGGGCGACGGGGGGCGAAGACTACACGCTGAAAAGCCACTGGGCAGCACTGGTGATGGCGAACCCGTAGTGCCGTGTGCGTGTGAGGAAGATATCCGCAACGCATACCCACGGAAGGGGGCCCCAGCCAAGCGAGAATACTGCGGGACGGGCGATGGTGTGTGGTGTCGGCGAGGGTGGCCACCAACGTGGCCATCGTCAGTGGCATGAGGGGTGAGACAGCAGCAGACTCACCTGCTGCCCGATTTCCCCTCCAACTCCCTCGCTGTGCTCTCCACAGACGAGACACTTGAGTGAGCAGACACCGAGGCTTTAAAGTGGTGCTGAGGAACAAGGCCGGTGAGGTTGGCAAATGTGCATGCAGGCCAGAGTGCGAGGCGCCGGCACATAGTGGCTGTCATCGTCTCCCTGCACGAGACGATAGCGTAAGAGGGTGGGTAAGTGGGCGACGGCGGTGGTAATGAAAGTGGGCAAGAGGCGAGATGGTGGCGAGAGGCGAGTGAGCGAGGAGGGGGGACAGCGAGCGCGAAGTGAGGTGAGGTGAGATGACCGAGACGGCGGCGTGGTTGGGGAGAGACAGGTATATGGGAAAATCGAACGTCGCATCTTTCGGCGCATACACGGTGCTCAAGCACTTCTTGACAACAGGGGTTTGGTATCTGTCCCCGAGCAGCGAGACGATAACGAACCTGTACATAAGATAAATGACGTGAGCGACGACGAGTCACCGGACAATACCCCTCGAGAACGTACGGATCCCTAAGACCATTCTTGTCTTTTGCAGAGAGGTTCATGCATTCAAGGACTGGCACGCAGAGCAGGATGATGGGGGACCCTATCGGGAAGGGGCGAGAAGGTGCTCCTGTCACTGCGTGTGGTAAGCATAGAGGTGGATTGAGAGACTCACCCTTCGTTCCTCATTGGCTATCCGATTCCTTCCACAGTCAATGAATCCGCCCCAAACGTTGCATACTCAACGTTGTTGCTGATGGTATCCCTAATGTTGGAAGTTGAGGTGTGGGTGTCGTCGTCATCGCTGGAATTGTCGTCGTCGAGAGAGCTAAGGGCTCGGGGTTGAGTGTAGGCGCCAGATGGAAAATGTGTAGGATAATGAGCTCAACGGGAACAAGCACAAAACTTGGGGGACACAAAAAGTGGATATCAATCGTCATGTTCCCGAGCTTGCGAGGGCATCCGTCGTTGTCGTCATCATTGTTGAGAACCAAGTTGCGCGAGATTTGGCGCCAAACTTAGACACCAAATCTCGGTTCATTGTTCTCCACGACGAGCTCACCAATCTCCGTCGTTTGGGCAGGTACATGTAGTAGCCGAGAGATCATAGATAAAGTCCCAGAAGACCCGGAGGCCATCGGACGCGATGGGGAGAAGTCCCAATGCACGCCCCTGACATAGTGTCGGCCCGACGCTACGGTACTAGGCAAAGTCGCTCTACAAGTGAAACCATGAGCGACCGAGCGACCGGTCGACGGGGCTACGCGTTCTTCACAGGACGACACTCTCTTGACGGTCGATTACAGTTCAGAAACTTGAAGCTGATGTGATGAGTTGTATGTCCTGTTGTAGGCTTGTAGCCAGATGAGTGCCACCGACGTTGATTTTGTTTTCTCTCTGCATATTTTCAGCACGCTATGCCTCCTGGAACAACTCTGCCCACCAGTACTCTTCTCCAGTGCAATTCTAGCATACATCGTGTCCTCTTTGACCTTGGATTCTCGCACAACCCCATAGTGTCTTCGTCCACATTAAGCTTGATATATACGTTGGACACATGTTCTGCCTCGGATTCCCGTCTGCGTCTTTCAATACGCCCTTTTATATTCCTTGCTCAAGTCTTCACGTCTACGACTTTTGCTAGTACTTCCTGCCTCTGATATTTCACCTGTTCTATATGCGGCAATTCTAGCCAATATAACGTGAGTCTACCACCTATGATCTTGCGAAAACTTACAGTCTGTCACAAGTTGCCTGGACCAGTTGTGCATCGTGACTACAAGCCCTGCCGTGCGGAATGTTTCATTTGTGTTCTATGCATTATGAAATATTCACACAGTGGTTCTTACTTTCTACAAATACACGATCACCTTCTCTTTTGAAGTCGATCTATTCTGGTCACGTCCTGTATCCGGAGCCACTGACTATTTGCTTCGCGACCAGTCTTGTTGGAGACTTGCTATCACTCTGGATGACCTCTTGCCCTCGACACCGAAGGATTAAAAAAATGAAACCTCAGTATTCATTACTTCTCATCTACGTGTGCATGCCGTTAAATATCATGTACATATTCTACTATCAGCGAATAATTCAAAACTAGGGATACAGAAGCACAAACACAAGTACGCTCGTAATATGTTATGTTACCGATATCGTTAGCGTTGCCATCATACATAATCCCCCACTGCAATCCTGGAGACGTCAGTCGAGTTCATGTAACTGGCGCTTCACATTCGCAGCTTTTTTAATCTCTCTCATGAGACGCTTGACCTTCCAAGATCCGCGCACTGTCTTGAACAGCGTCTGCGAATGACGCGGCTTGAAGTCCTCTGGGAACCGCTCATTCAGCCACCACTCCTGCAACCACCTTACTGGGACTGTCTCGTTTGCGCCGCCGAAGACCCCCAGTACCATTGAAATCTCTCCACGCGCAATTTCTTCATGGAGGGGATCGAGAGCAGGCCATTTATACTCCCTCTCTCGGAGAACCCTTGCAGAGGCGAAATCGTGCATTGTCATGAAGGAGCCATCCGTTGACTCATTGGTCATCTGGTAGATGAGGCTGAGACTGGCCTTCGTCGGTGCGTACTCCTCATCTCCCACCGCATCAGGGTGCCCAAGAGAAGCGTTGTGCTCGATAAAGTTGTGTCGCGAGAGGTCGGAGAGTGAGAGTGCCGAATACTGGCTGAGGATCATGTGTCCACCGTAGGTGAGGAGCGTCGCCAATGGGAGCGATAGGTTGTAACCCTCACGCATGGCACGAATATAATTGCTGTAACTTATCCCTCTCCCGTCATGAGGCCTACGTAACTCATCAATGAATGTGACACCCAGAGAACTATCTGGAACCTACAGGAAGCCATGATTTGCCAAGGTGTTCAGCGCAGGACACGGTGATCGACTGTCCGTTCTACTCGGTGGCACGAACGGGTGGGTTTGAAGGGAGAACTCAGCCAGCTCCTGGCCTACCAGTCCATCGATCGCAAATCTGGAAGTCATTTTCCGTGAGCTTGTAGTTCTCTCGGATGATAGTGAACTGGGTTGCTTACATCAACTTCATAATAGCTGCTACAATGGCGGTGACTAGAGCATATTTGACAAGGGCAATGTGCAATCCCTTTGGGTGCACCGATGAAAGCGTGGCCATGACTGAGGAAACGGGACGAGCGGGGGAGGAGGATGTGGGATGCAGATAGCGGGACGTATATGAGGGCTTTTATGTACCCAGATGCTGTACCTTGCTAGTCTCAAATTCATGCAGATCTCCGTCGCAACTAGCATCGCGCCCAGGCACGTGTACTCGGGAGACACAGGCCGGATAGCCCCGTGAACAAGAGGAATGATGACATCCAGGCGGTGAAGCCGGTGTTTCCAGTCGAATTGGGTAAGGCTTCGTACTTATTCTCTCAATCAACCCTTCAGAGCCTCGGTTGCCGGGAGCAGTTTCGAGGTAGCCTAATCACCGCACGCGAGATATGATATATGCTGAGCCTTCGGATGGCGGTAGACGCGAGAAAGTAGAATGCTACTCGACTATCTATGGCCCATCGAGAGTATTACCCTTCGTACCCGTACCTGGAACTCTGGCTGAGATTCAGCCATGGCAGGTCGCATGTCCTCTCCTGGATTGCTAGTGTCTCGTAACAATAAATATATGATGTAACTGGTGGCATGTACATGTTAACGAGAGCAGGCCGGCCGCGCCCATTTTGTCGCGTGCATGATGGCATCAGTCGCGGAGCACAGTATTACTGTAATGCAACAGCAACCAAACAGCGCTTAATGCTGAAAGTTGGCTTGTTGGGAACTTGGGTTGATGATATCTTATTGTCATCGAGACGATCCGCTTGTCTGATATCTGGTTATTTGTGACTTCCTATAATACAAAAGAAATTCAAGTTGAAGTAATTTGGTTGCGCATGTCGATTTCGTCCGGTACATGCACACAGTGAGGTTCGTTCCTTTGACACACCTTGAGCTCGTAAGTAATACTGGGGGGAGTTATGGCAGCGAGGAACCACGAGACTCACCATGCGCGCCGAAATCTGTGATAGATTGGGGTGGCAATATGCGATGATTGTGGTTATGTTGATATTTGAGATGGAGTCGTGCAGTGGCGTGCGCGCGAGCATCTGCAAGTTGGCAACAACTCTCCAGGTTCCCCTCAGAAAGTCCTCGCGTCCTACTCGAAAGGGCCAGCCGATTCAATGAAGGCATACCGCTCAAGATGCTCGCGATCAATCCAAGCTGACTTCGCATATTTGAAGGCTCCTAGCCTTGCTTAGATGCTCAAGCAAGTGGTTGCTTATTGCCCTATTCAAAAGTACTTACTGGACTAATGAGAGCTCACCGCCGGAGGTACCCGAGGCTCGCCCTTGAATAGTGCACTCGCAGATGCTAGTCAGTATCGCTCCAAGGTCCTACACGTTTTCACGACCACATATCACAGGTAATGCGTCGTGTCTGCAGCTCCGGTCCTGCCTTGCCGCGTCTGCAAGTCTGGCCGAGCCATGATATCTCCCATCCGTTTGTTTTTAGGGCCAGAATGATGCTACCGCGCTGGCGCTCATTGTTGGCAGTTCAACGGAGCGCCGACGCCCACTGGCCGCTGCTCAGGACTGAGTATCGATGTAGGCAAGATCTATTCCTGTTGGCACATCCACGTCAGTGCTCATATGCTCACAATCAATCAAATGTATATCATTGACACTTGCGTGACATGATGAATGTACTTATATAGCATGCGATCTCTGTGTAGTCCTGACAACGCGCGAGCGCAAAATTTAGAAAACATGGAACCCTCAGGGCGCAGAACCAAAGTCTAGCGCGGCTGTAGTGAGTACGAGATCCGGAAACCCGAGAAATACGGGAGGATTATAACCTGAGGGTGTATAGTGAGTTGAAGCACTCATCTTAACTATTTCAGACGCATGTCGTCAAGCTGTTGATAGCTAGGAGATTACGCGACCCTGGACATTATGCGTGTCGGTGAGAAACGTACTGAATAGCAAGCGGAATAAGCTTACCTCCAGGCAGCCTCGGAGACGACTGTCTGGGTCAGCGAGTATTTGGGCTCTGCATTGTCTGCCAGGAGCATTGAAACTCGAAGATGGCTACGCTCAGGAGCGCCCAGATCCAGGAGCTGTCACGTAGGTGGGGTGGTGAGCAGCTGCGATTAGAGAAATCCAGAAGCCTGACCCTTGGGCAAAGTGTACCAGTAAGTGAAAAGTCCTGCGAATGCGCTGCGCTGACGTCTGAGTATGACTAGCCTCGAGTGATATGTTGACTTGCTCCAATCCGGATGCAAAGTTGAACACTGCAGTGGGCGTTTTCAGAATTCAAAAAGAAATCAAGTTCTTTTTCGTGCTTCCATAGGCGATATCTACTGCAGACTAGATGTGTTAGAGGGAAACTTTCGGCCCCAACTATTTATATGCAACGCAAGCGATGAGCGTAACATACGGCATACATCCAGTAGTGAGAGTATGACAACAACTCAAGCCAAGATCATGTAGCCCAGGAGAAAATATTGAAGCGGCAGGAAAATGAGGCTCAAGAATGAAAGAGGTTCAGGATGCACACCCATAGACTTGACAGCTCTGCTTTGTGGTGTTGTAGCAGGATTTGAGAGATAAGTCGTTTGTACTGAAAGAAGACAAAACCCATTTGTAACTCAAGGCGCAGGACCGTGACGCCGGAACCTGCCAAACCGGCGGGCCGGCGCTATTAAGGGCGGATGCCCGACGCCCTGCCCTAAACTCGGCGCCCATAAATTCTCGCCGGTGACACTCATGTTTCTCCAGAACATACTCAGCTAGGATCTATTTTATAGGT